AACGTTATCTTTGTGCTACTGATATTTCTTCAGAAGTTCCGAAACATGGAACTTTATAGAGAAAAGATGCACTCACTTTGTAAACATCATGAACATCAATGATGCCATCAAATATAGTATATAGGTCGTTCAGCAGACCAACTACCTAGAAAAGCAAAGGCTATCAAATTTGGCAATACTAAGCCAGAAAATGTCCAATTATTATGAAATATAGAGGTTGAAGCTTTTGGCTAATACTTCCGTACTGGTCATAATGACCTATCGAGGACCACACTTTGAATGTAGCACAGCCACCTGTGTCACTCCAGGGATTACGAAGGGAATGAACAAGAAAGGCATGTGCAGAAAGAGGCTAAATATATGTCATAGATAGTCGTTGAAAAGAAAAGTTTTCGAGCAGGTGCAAAGGCAAAAGTATCCACGTAATTGTGAGATCTTAGGAGACAATTTTTATAGAGAGAGATGAAATGTAGATAGAGGAGGATGAAGTACAGCCAGACAGAACGAGTGCTAGAAGAGAACAAACGACTAGAGAGAGTCTAGGAGAGCCTGTATGATGAATAAAGGAGAGGAACAGTATGGCGATTGAAGGTAGCGCAGCCAGCCGAGCTACGTGCTGTGAAAAATCTAGAGTTGATCGCGCATCTGAATGACATCCTGTTAATGTGGAGTAGTGGTAACGAGACGACGTACCTGCATAGGATTACACTTTGCAGCAAGGGTTGTGAACGAAACCACGTCCGAGAAAAACACAGTCACGCTTTCAAATGTTTCGGGCTCGACAGATTGACCAAGTTTCAACTTTTCGGCGACTTGCCTTTGAAATAGGCATATCAGCGTTGAGCACTAGTACGCAATACAAGATAAACGTAGATTATCACTGCCACATAGCGAAGTAGAGTTTGAGGGAACCTTCGTATGAAGGGCTCCTATTTGCTTTGTGGCAATGTCCACCTACATTGTTTTCGCTTTTGCTCTTAACGTAGGTGGCAGTGTTCACCTAT